TGCCTTGCCAGCCCGCTCAGAGATGTGTATAAGAGACAGGTCGTATTATATATTTAAGATACAAAGGTCTTATTTTTTTCAATTTGATACAATTTTTCGAGGTAAAACGTTAAAAAATATACTTGGCGGTTTTTTTTACATGTTCAATGTCTTTTCCACGGATATTATATTACGCGAATCTATTGTGTCACAGCTGCCGTACATCGGCGCTTCACCAAAATGTTAAATTGCATTTTTACGTGTGTTCGACGATGTGATTTCATCGCGAGGCATTATGGCTGCTCGTATAAATGCTCGCAAGATTTCACATTGTTAAATTGTTGCGCGACATGGCTACGTTCGAGCGAGTGCCTCCTCTTTGGTACATGAGAAAACGAAATCGATGTTGTTCTGCGATTGTTCGTCTTCTTCGTGATAGAGAATGTAGATTTCCAAATGTGCTTACTCGCGTTAAGAAGGAATGTCCCGATCATTTGACGCATATAGGTGGAAGCATTGCCGTGATATGTATTGGAACAGTGTCACAGAGTCATTCCTTTACACATGTAGTGGAAAAATTTATGGTATTAGTAATCACCGCTACACAGAAAATGAGTCACGTTTCGAGGTGTGGTGGAATTCGTTCCTTTTCTACCAATCAGACAAGGATCCTGATGTATTTAATGCCAAGGGTATAAGAGTTTCGTACAATCGACACGATGGACAAAGCTGGGCATTTATAGATGTGAAGTTGAGCTTAGATGTACAACTGCGGGACCGCGAGATTGCCAGTCTTACTTTGAAATCTGTACTTGAAAGAACGTTTGACAGAGTGGTGCTAGATTAGCCTATCGTCTTTCAACAATAATGAATTTCTACGTTCCACTGAAGAATAAGGTGATCGAAAGACCGTAAGTTTCAATATATTATTTATCCTTTTTTCCATGCTTGATTAAATTCTTTTACAGAATTGGGTCCCATATTTCGAAGATTTTGACGACAGGTTATTATAATAAAAGAATATTTATTCAGGCTTGTACGTACATCGAGTAACGCCGATAAGCTTAACAAACAGTAAGAAGAAGAGAAAGCGGAAGTGCAACTCTAGTCAAAAAAAAAGAAATTTACATTAGTATTAGTAGAGTCAGTAGAGATGGCACTCCGGTAGTGTAACTCGTATAATGAAAAAGGGATATAGGAGGCGCGATATATAAATAAATATTGATACTCTAATACTCCCACTTATTGAGCACCTCCAAAAGAAAAAAAAACTGAGCAAACAGAAAGATTACGTTACGTATTTCTTTGATCGAGATTATATTAATCCTGTGTCACCAATAAGGTTGCTTGATGCTTCGCAAAGATGTTCCTGGGAAGTGCCTTGGTCATCACATCGGTTAGTTGATTTGCGGAATGTACATACGAGATATTTATTTCTCCGTTCTCGAATTTCTCTCTTATGAAATGAAAACGGACGTCTATATGTTTGGTCCTTTTATGGAATTCGGGATTCTTGATCAGTCGTATGGCTGCTTGATTGTCTATGTTTATGGTAATAGGCTCAATAGATCTCTGTAGAAGACAGGATAATAACGTGCGTAACCATAGAGATTCTTTTACTGCAGCTGAGGCAGCCATGTATTCTGCCTCTGTTGTTGATAAAGCGACGGTTTGTTGCCTTTGACTGCACCAGGTAACTGGTCCTCCATTCACGAGAAAAAGATATCCTGTTGTGGAACGCCTTGTATCTGGATCGGATACGTAATCGGAGTCGGACCATCCTGTTAATTGAAAAGAGTCTTCTGTTCTTCGGTAAAGTATTCCATAGTGCTTACCTCTTAGATATTTTATTATTTTCTTAACTGCATTCCAGTGGTTTTTATCAAAGTTGTTAACAAATCGACTGACTAGATTTACGGCAAATGAAATGTCAGGACGGCTCACTGTTGAGATAAAAATGAGTGCTCCCACTGCTTCTCGAAACGGTAGATTTGTTACACCGTGGCAGGGATGTAACGTGGAAAGGACTCGTAGTGGTGGATGTTGAAGTGATGCACAGTTATATCGTTTAACACACTGACTATATTTTACGTGCTACTTACAAGTTGATCACT